GAGCAGATGCAGCGGAGGCGAAGGAATTGGGAATAGGGGATTGCATTTTTGCAGGAAGGTGGGTGGGAGGAGGTGTATTCTAGGTAGCTGTGGGAGTCGGTGGGCTTGAAATGTTTATCGGTTTCTAGGTGGTTGCCCGATATGGAGACAGAGAGGTCCAGGAAGGTGAGAGAGGTGTTAGAGATGGTCCAGGTGAACTTAAGGTTGGGGTGGAAGGTGTTGGTAAAGTGGATGAACTGTTCGAGCTCCTCGTGGGAGCACGAGGCGGCACCGATACAGTCATCAATGTAACAGAGGAAGAGGTGGGGTTTAGGGCCAGTGTAGGTACGGAAAAGGGATTCTTCCACGTAACCTACAAAGAGGCAGGCATAGCTTGGGCCCATGCGGGTATCCATGGCCACCTCCTTTGTCTGTAGGAAGTGGGAGGAATTGAAAGAGAAGTTGTTGAGGGTGAGGACGAGTTCAGCTAAGCGGATGAGGGTGTCAGTGGAGGGGGACTGGTCAGGCCTGCGGGACAGGGAGAAGCGGAGGGCCTTTAGGCCATCTGTATGGGGAATGCAGGTGTATAGGGACTGGACGTCCGTGGTAAAGATGAGGTGTTGGGGACCGGGGAATTGGAAGTTTTGGAGGAGGTGGAGGGAAGCAACTGCTCGACCATGTCTTGAAGCCTTGAAACTGCTCGACCATGTCCTGAAGCAAACCAGGTATACAGCCACATCACCTTTCTTAGTACCTGCCTACGGAACCAGCTCGTCCCCAATGGACTACAGTCCACATTCAGGCCTTCCCAATTTGGCCCCAAACGTAACAATGTCTACATTCATAGCATTGAGATCCTTCAGAAGCGTTTCTCCCTGTGACTCCTGAAACACACACTCGCAGCAATGCGCCGGTATCTCCTGGCACTACAATCAAGCCTCCCTCTCCCAGACCTGCAATCAAGCTCAGAGCCTCCCTCTCCCAGACCTGCAAAGGACCTCTCCTGTTTTTTATTCTTCGTAGGATCCACAACCTGAACTCACAATTCTACTCAGCTTTATTGGACACTAAAAACCGTAAGTACAGTAAACTTACTGGTCCCTACCACCGAAAACGGGCTTCCTCCACCTCCCAAAACCCCAGCCGTACCCAGGACCTTCCCCACAATGTGCCCGCCGCCATTGGCCGTGAGGCCACTGTCGGAGAACCCACAGATGACGTCACATCCACCAACACTGGGTACCCCACTTCCGGGACAGCGAACTCCATCGCTGCTGATGCCACCACCTCCATTTCCGAGGCCAACACCACAGACACTGAAGACGCACCTACTTTCACTGCTGCTGCCGCCGCCTACCCCGTTCTGTGCAAGTTGGCTAAAATGGTCCAGAAACTGTGAAGCTCCTTCTGTAGTTCAGAGTTGCTAAATTGTTGAAGGTTTTCCCAGAGGCAGTCATGCCATGAACATACATTGCATGATGATAACAAATTTTAAAACATCTTATTATAATTAGTATAATTAATCATGCAGCTAAATGCATTTAGCTAAAACATATATTTTACTTGTCTTAGACTGGATTAAATTTGGTAGAATGAGTGTTGACATTTTATAAAACAAGTTATAGTATATGTTATGCTTGAGAATAGCACAATGTAGATAGACCCGTTGTCTGGATAAGGAATGCTATTCGGTAAATGCTACAGGGTGAAATGAACATAATTTAGTCTGGCTCCGAAGAAAACTTAGACCAGAAGCACATGAGGTATGTTTATCTAAGGACTCCACTTCTTTGCCAAGTGCACTATATAAAACCAAAGAAATTTGCAGATGTTGTTACTTCTATTTTACTCCTAAACATTTGTTGAATTGTTTGCCATATATAGCTCCAACAAAAGTGCATTGTGCAATGAGCAATCATTCTTGCACCTTTTCTTCTTTATGTGCCCACCCTTGTTTACATTTACATCATAACATTTTTCCTGGTTGTGCAAATGTGAATATTAGGAAATCCACTGGTACTGAAAGAAAGATCACATTCTGCAAGTGATTCAGCAGATTTGTCAGCTGCGCCGCCCTTTCAATTTTAAACTTCAAACTCCTGGTTGTAAATCCCATGGCAGGACTTGCTATGGAAGCACCTAATTTCTTCATTCACCAAATGTGGGCATCACTGGCTAGGCCAGCATTCATTGCCCATCCCTAATTGCCAAGAGGGCAGCTGAGAGTCAACCACATTCTTGTGGATTTGGAGCCACATGCAGGCCCAACCAGGTGAGGATGGCAGATTTCCTTCCTTGAAGGACATCAGTGAACCAGATGGGGTTTTTGGTGACCATCGATAATGGTTTCACGGTGATCAATAGATTCTTAATTCCAGACTTTTTTAAAAATTCAAATTCCACCTTTTGCCATGGTGGGATTCGAACCCATGTCCCGAAACATTAGCTGAGTTTCTAGATTAGTAGGTCTAGATAACACCACCAGGCCATTGCTATTGAGTGATTGTAATGAACATCCAATTTATGGACAGTAGTAGGCTATTTGACTCCTCAGACCTGTTGTGCCATTCAGTCAGATCATAGTCAATTTGTTTGTGTTCTAAATTCCATATTCCCATCTATCCCTAATAGGCTTTGATTTTCTTGCTTAATAAGAATTTATCTACCCCTGCCTTGAAAAAATATTTAATGACAATGGTTTCTGAGGCACAGAGTTCCAAAATTACATTACCCTCTGAGAAAAATGTGTCCCCTTATTTGTCATAAGACATGACACTTAATTTGGAAACAGTACTCCCTTGTCCGGTCTCAGCCATAACAGGAAAAATCGTCTCCATGTCCACCTTGCCAAGACCATTCAAAATCTTATAACTTCAAATCATCCCTCACTAAACTAAACTCCAGTGAAAATAAGCTTGTACATCTTTCCAGTATGCTGGAGAGTGGGCAGGAGGAGTGGGAGAATCTCCTGAAAGGATCTCACAGGTAGTGCAACTGGCATCCTGCGGAAAAGACAATGGCAAATCCACGGAAGCATGACACAATTCAGGGGAAGTCCATGGAAGCCCAACTCTCATAAATGAGAACAGAAAATTCAGTCCATCAGATCAACAGACAGAGTGCAGCCTCAGCAGAATGGTGCTTTGGATTAGTTGTGTTCTTTTCTTCTTAGGTAGACCCTTGGAACCAAGGATGTCTTTCTTCCACTTGGGAGTTGTGGGTGCTGTGGCGAATAAAATCTATCCAATGCTGGATCCACACATCCTGCCACAAGACAGGCAGCAAACTGGCTGTCAATAGAGGAGCATATTATCAATCGGGTAGCTGGCTGTCTTTTTATATTTCAAAAATATACTTTATTCATAAAAATCTTTATATAGATACGTAGTCACTAGAGCAGCTTGATTCTGCACATGGCATTTATGTATGTAAAACAGACAAACCCAAGGTATTTCTTACTTATACAAGACTATATTTACATACATTTGAGGTACCAGGAGGGTCGGATAACTGAACAGACCACCATTTAACTTTGGCAGAAAGACCTTAGATGGTGGTCTTTCCCCGCTCTGCCTTGGCAGCAACTGCCCCAAGCTTCAGTGCATCCCTCAGCACGTAGTCCTGGACCTTGGAATGTGTCAGTCTGCAACATTTGGTCAAGGTCACTTCCTTGTTCTCAAAGACCAACAAGTTTCGGGCAGACTGAAGAGCGTCTTTCACTGAGTTGATGATCCTCCAGGTGTAGTCGATGTTTAGCTTGGTGTGTGTCCCAGGGAACAGCCCTTAGAGCACAGAGTCCTGCATCACAGAGCTGCTTGAGACTAACCTTGTCAAAAACCATTGCATCTCTCTCCAGACTTCCTTTGCAAAGGCACATTTCAGAAGAAGATGTGTGATAGTCTCTACCCACCCCTGCAGCCGCTCCGAGAGCAGCATGCAGTGGTGCAGAGAGTCCGGGCGTGCACAAGGGATTTCACAGGTAGTTTAGCTGGCTGTCAAACAGAGATCTATCAGGTTCAGCTGTCAATCAGAAGTGCAAGCAGTTAATTCGGGGTGAGTGGACAATAATCATGTGACAGTTGTCAGTTGGGTGTCAGCTGTCAATCAGGGAGTTAACTGTGTGTCAGAAACCAGCTGTTAATCTGGGTCAGGCTGTCAACCAGAGGGACATGATGTCAATCAGAGAGGGCAGCAATCATCAGGGGAGAGTTGTCAGTTGGGGAGGGTCATCCGTTGGGGGAGTGCTGTCTGTCAGGAGGAGAGCTGTTCACCGAGGGAGAGCTGTCACTCAGAGGAAGGACTGTCAATCAGAGGGAGAGCTGTCACTCAGAGAGAGAGCTGTCACTCAGAGGAAGGACTGTCAATCAGAGGGAGAGCTGTCACTCAGAGGGAGAGCTGTCACTCAGAGAGAGAGCTGTCACTCAGAGGGAGAGCTGTCAATTGGGGGAGAGCTGTCACTCAGAGGGAGAGCTGTCACTCAGAGGGAGAGCTGTCAATTGGGGGAGAGCTGTCACTCAGAGGGAGAGCTGTCACTCAGAGAGAGAGCTGTCACTCAGAGGGAGAGCTGTCAATTGGGGGAGAGCTGTCACTCAGAGGGAGAGCTGTCAATTGGGGGAGAGCTGTCACTCAGAGGGAGAGTTGTCACTCAGGGGGAGAGTTGTCACTCGGGGGAGAGCTGTCACTCAGAGGGAGAGAGCTGTCACTCGGGGGAGAGCTGTCACTCAGAGGGAGAGAGCTGTCACTCAGAGGGAGAGCTGTCACTCAGAGGGAGAGAGCTGTCACTCAGAGGGAGAGAGCTGTCACTCAGAGGGAGAGAGCTGTCACTCAGGGGGAGAGCTGTCACTCAGGGGGAGAGCTGTCACTCAGAGGGAGAG